AAAACCAACTAAACCAACAATAGCTACTACCACTAGTAAAGGTACAACAATCAGTCCAAAACCTCAAACGATAGCAGCTCATATTATCTCTACTACTACAACTACAAGTACTCCAGTACCCCAAACGATTGTATCCCATATTACTTCCCCTACTACCACTACAATTACTCCAGTACCTCAAACGATTGCATCCCATATTACTTCCTCTACTACCACTATGAATACTCCCAAACCACAAACGATAGCTTCTCATATAATTCCTTCCACTTCTGCTACCACTACAACTACTACAAGTACTCTCAAACCTCAAACGATGCCATCTCATATGATTCCTTCCACTTCTGCTACCACTACAACTAATACAAGTACTCTCAAACCACAAACGATAATATCTCATATGATTTCTTCTACTTCTGCTACTACTGCAACAACTACAAGTACTCCAGAACCTGAAGCGACTTCATCCCATTCAACTTCTTCTTCTACTACTACAAGTACTCTCCAACCTCAAACGATCTCGTCTCATATGACTACGACGACTATGAAAATCCCTAAATCTACTCTTCCAACAATAATCAACATGACAGCCACTCAAAGAACCACAACTCAGAGTATTACGACAGAGGCTTCAATATCAATATCAAGGCTTACCACCCAACAAACAATTCCCACGATATCAAGCAAAATTACCACAAAACCTCGGACAACTACAATGTCAACTGTAGCACCAAGTAGTTCCAAACCCAGCGAAACAAAACCACCTACAATGAAACATACAGAGCCATCAACAAATAAAATACCCTCAAGTTCTACAACTATACCAACAACAATAACTACAACCATAGGTTCCAGTACCTTAGTTATTTCGGACACTGGTTCTACCACATCGACTGTTGTGCCTAAGAACCATGAAACCACGATTCCAGTGTCTCCAATGTCAGTAGCATCTACTATGTCTGAGACGACATCAGAAATATCGCAGTCTCAATCAGCTGCGAGCAATGAAATGGTTGATGTCACTGAGACAACTACATCGATCCATGGAGCCCCACAAACAGAATCTAGCACCCTTCAATCAGAAGAAGAAACACAGCCTACTGACCAAATGCCTGCACCCAGCATTGAAAGTCAAACAACACCGTTCACTGAAACACTCAGTACAACTCAAGAAACAACTGAACCAGTAACTCAGTATACTACAACTGAAGGTAGTAATGAAAGGACATCCATGAAACAACAAGAATCAACTGTAACTAGCGACAAACCCGAGACAACTTCGACCAAAGGTGAATCAAAAGAAAATATGACCACAGAAGCAACTAGCCTACTTCCAAAAACTACTTCTAAGATGCGCACTACCACTGCCAGTGATTTTCTTACCGAAGCGGAACCTATCAGAGAACCCATCAACACCAAACCAGTCAAGGAAGATTTCGACTTGGATGACATTTTCGGATCGACAATTGCAACAACGAAGCCTGCTAGTACAACAACTATAAAAGTGACAGAATCTGATTTGGCTGTGCAGTTATTTGGCAACAAAGACCTGCAAAATGCCAAGGTGATTTTTGCGAATTTCTATGAAGCATCTACTACAGCGATGCTAACGAAATACGATGATATGACAGTAGAGTCAGAACCTTTAACTAGCCAAAGCTACGAAACTTCTATCAGTTATCAGGTGAACAAGAGAAGAACTATGGAATATGACTCGACTCTCAAAACTCCTAGAAGACTGAAAGCTCGTAGATACAAGAATAAAATATCAAAACATCCAAGATCTAGTGCTGAATCTTCATATCTAGATACCACTACCTACTCCATACAACTTGGTACATTGAATCCTAGCCTATCAACTACAGAAACCAACTACTTAGCTCCTGAATCCACTTTGAAACCATCTAGCAATGCTGAGTCTATTGGACATGAGGTATTACAATATTCAGACCATACAACAGAACCTTCATCAGCAGATAAAAACGTTAGAGCCACAGAACCCAGCTACTACCATAGCAAAACCAGTTTAAATAACCTTAGCAGTTCGAAGCCTAGTTCACATGAAGTAATAGTACAATATCCAGGCTATACAAGAGAAGATAATAATGTTAAAATCATAGAATCCAAATACCCAGCAACAAAAAACACTTCGAAGATGTCTAGTAGTTGGAAACCTAGTAATCGTATGGTAATAGAAGACGTTTCTAGCTATACTACAGAATCAGCATCAGCAGATCAAAATTCAAGAACTACAGAATCCATATACTTAGCTCCTAAAACCAGTTTGAAAATACCAAGAAGTTGGATGACTAGTGAACATGAACTAATAGTAAAACATCCAGGATATACAACAGAAGATAGCAATGCTGGAACCATAGAATCCAAAAACTTAGCTACCGCAACAAGTTTGAGAATTCCTAGTAGTTGGAAACCTAGTAGGCCAAAAGTACCAGGAACAGCAAGAGTTTCTAGCTATACAACAGAATCATTATCAGCAGATCAAAATGTTAGAACAACAGAATCCAGATACTTCGCTAGTGAAAACAGTTTGAAACCATTAAGCAATTTGAAGCCTATCGATCATGAGGAGATAGTAGAACATCCAGACTATACAACAGAAAATAATAATGTTAGAACCATAGCGACTGAATACTCAACTACCGAAGCCAATATGGATATGCTAAGCAGCAGTGCTAGCTATACTACAGAATCAGCATCAGCAGATAAAAATGTCGGCAGTACGATAAAGGCTTTCGACGATTTGGCCATGAGATTAGTCAATCATGCAAGAGGCTTAGATTATTTGAGCAAGAGGAACTCTAGGCCTACCAAACCGAGATACAAAAAGAGGAGAACTTATACACCTAGATACAGGAAAACGACTAGAAAAAAGATACGCAGTAGATAGTTTCGGTATATGGAAGGAGTTTGAAGTCAGGAGTAGGGTCGATCCTAGAGAATCAGCTGCCGCACAGTAGATCGAAACATACTGAGGCGTCTCAAAAATATGCCTCTTGGTGAGTTTTTTCGATAGGAATCATAAATTATGGATCCTTTTAAATGTACGAATCAAGTCATAAGGGGAAGTGGGTGACTTGCAATTGACACTTGCCAGTTATCAAGGGACAATTTTCGAACTTTGCTGCTTCAATATTACGTTTTAATTGGTCAGAAATTGTGAATCTCAGTCAGATGCATTTATTTGTGAAGCATTTTCCCATTTGCACATGGTCTTAAATCTAGGAATTTTTTAAACAAAAAACACATTGTGAAAACGATAACTAGCAGTAGGAAATAAGCTTTAGTTTGTAAATATATTCACTGATGAACTAATTCAAAATGAACGTAGGTAAATGTGATTATTTTTTTATTAAAACGATTTTACTGAAGTTAACTGCATTTGAAAATGTTTTCCTTTGCAATATACAGAGCCTCATTCCAAATCGAGCTCGAAATCGAGAATATGTTCATATGGAAATGACTAAATGAGACAAACATGCGGTGGATATGCGGTGGATATGCAGTGCTTTTCTTTAATGCCCGCCCTTTTATTTTTTGAACGGGTAAACTGAAAAAAATTCACATGGGATAACGGAAGTAAGTAAAAAAGAAAGTAAGATTTACAGAAGAAAATTTCAAGATAGCGACTGGGCGCCATCTGGGGAGAAAATAATTGGAGATTGTGGTATTGTGACACATTTTTTTTGAAAAACCTGACGCATACTTCACAACCCTAGAATATGAAGTCAATATCTTCACCTCTACTAGATGGCGGAAACACATATCCATGTGGATATTGTTTTCCAACAATATGGAGCACCATACTACATTACTCCAGAAAACTTAGAAACATTTGAATAATATTTTTTCCGCTTGTTGGATTGGAATTGGATTGTTTTACGGAATGGCCAGTCCGTTCGCCAGATTCGACACCTTAGGACGTTTTTTATGGTGCTATTTAAAGCAAAATGTGTACGAACCTGCACCTGCATCATTATCAGATTTACGACAGAGAATGATAAATATTTGTAGAAATATCATGTAACTGAGTTCGGCGTAAAATATCGGATGTGCATCTTCTGAACTGAACCCAGCTTATTTCCTCAAATTATGAATTAAAATGTATTCAAGTAATTATTAAATATTCCGCCATTGTGTAGTAGGTATTGACTTCATATTCTAGGGTTGTGAAGTATTCGTCAGGAGCTTCAAAAGGATGTATCACAAGACCCCCCTTTTCCATTTGATTTTTCTTCAATGGCACCCAGTCGCCATCTTGAAATTTTCATCTGTCAATTTCACTCCAAAGTTTTAAATTTGCTCAGTCGACCTGTTAAAAAATAGAAGGGGGGATGGACATCAAAGAAAAGAACTGTATCAAATTAACAATGACCCTCAAATGCAAAAATGGCGAAAATCAGCAGAGCTCTACAGGATTGGATAACAAAATAGTAGATTGTTTTATTAGGATCAAATGTGACACTTTGTTTGGAAAGCGAATTTTGCATTTGCGAGGCGGAGCGTTTAGCGATGTCAAAAAGCAAAATTTGCGATTCAAACAAAGTCACTTTTGATCCGAATGAAACATGCTATTTTTTCTACAACCGAAACAATTAACTAAAATAAATAAGTGAAGTAACCACCAATGCCGTGCCATATGTATACAATGCAACAATAATCCGTGTGGTGAGAATATTCTACCTGCATTAACAGCAGGTTTATTCAATTTTCATTTTCATGTTCGAATTGTAGTTTCAATATAAATACAACCACAGAGTGACATATTTGTGTATGGACCAGGTGCTCTAATGGCAAATACACCGCGCCAGTTCCAGGTATAGGAACAAGATGTGGAAAATGTTAGGTTAGTGAGCATTGTCATAAGCACTGTCATAATTTTTCCGAATCAGCCGAATCCGAATCATTCAAAATAATCCTAAGAGCATTACGAAAAATAAGAACAACGGGCAGAAAATTCGATTTCAAAGATAAAAAAGACTTACCGGCACCCTCTTGGGCATATTTGTATTCTGGTTCTGGTTTTTCTGGAATGAACTTGCCAAAACTTTCCGGCAAAATTTCACGGATTCTTTGGTAATATGACAACCTGAAAAAAATAATTCATTACAGTACATTACATTACAAAACAGTTTTAATCTTCTCCTGAAGATGCTAAGATAGTTAGCGAAACACGTGTCGAGTCGTTAAAAAATCGGTTTGGTTAGTGGTAAAACAGTGCAGTGTATTATGGAGCCAGAGGTTCCAGTCTTCGATATAACAAAACTTCTAAATTCAAAAAATCAGCGGTATACAAACTCAACTGTGGATCTTGTCGTAAGGTATATATCGGTCAGACAGGTCGTACGTTTAATCAGCGCATTCATGAACATGAGATGAATTTTATGAAAAAGAAAACAAATTCAACATACGCCAACCATATATTAGAAGAAAACCATAGTTTTGATGATAATTTCGAAATTTTACACGTTGAAAATAAAGGACTGAAACTCAATCATTTTGAATCATTAGAAATCAACAAATTCAACAATGTTGACATTTTACTTAATGATCAATTAGATCTCAATAATTCACCTCTGTTGAATTTGTTTTTTTAGTAAGTGATAATATGTATTTGCTATCAACTCTTTCAAGTTAATCCGGTATACCATAATTTAATGTAGATATTGTGTCTATTTTCCGAAAATGGAGGTTTATCGATCCTGTCCACAGGTAGGTTAGGTTCCATGTGAGTGGGGCGAACACCTCCCCTCCACTGCGACCCCAGATGGGTCTATTGTGGCTCACCCCTAGAGGTTACAGTTCACCGTACAATCCACATCTTTTTACAAAGTTCATGGTTGAATTGGGTGAGATTTGTCTGAAATCGATAGGTTCTAGGTTGGTAAAGCCAAATGTGTCGAACCTTAGTCTTTCTAAGCTAGAGCATGAGCATAATATGTGTTCAGCCGTTTCGTCTTCCACACAACAGAACCGACAGTCCGTTTGTTGGTTCAGACCCATCCTTCCCAGGTGGTATCTTAGACGACAGTGTCCCGTAAGCAGTCCAGTCAGAATTCGCAGGTTACCCCTGCTCCATTCTAGGATCTGCCTGGTTATTTTTTCCGATGGTTTAGGCAGGAACGCCTTCGAATGGGTTAATCCTGGTAATTCGGACAAGTACGTGAGTGTTTTTCCCTCCGCCCAGCCCGAGATAGTTGTTTTCGCCGCACTTGCGGTGACCCCAAAATATGGTTCTGGTCCTATGAACACAGATTCGGTTCCCTGTTTGGCGAGGATGTCGGCTTTATCGTTACCCTCCACCCCCTGGTGTCCAGGCACCCACAGCAAAGTGACTCTGTTGTTAGCACCCAGGCTTCCTAGGGATTCAATGCAGCTCCATACAAGCTTGTCCACAGGTAACTAATCCTTCAGGTTGGGAAAGTAGGATATACAAAAGTTAAGCAACCCAACGTTAGTTTAGTTCATTGTACCAGTATATCACCTGACGAAGCTACTGTGTTAGCGAAACATGTCGTGTGTTTGAGAATTTTGTGGAAATCTTATCGTTTGTGAAGTTTTTACATTAGTGTAGACACATTAACAATAAGAAAGAAAAGAAAACAGAAAGAATAAGATCCAAGAAGAACCAACCTCAAGCACTTCAGCATCGTCTCCCTGATGAACTTCGGCTTCGGATGGTCCTCGTCCAACAGCAGACAGGAGTCCCAGTCCTCCCAGGACCATCTGAACTGGAAGTTGCTCAGATGGTACGAGAACCAGTTGACGAACCTGTCGAAACACGACACGTTCATCGTGTCGATGCGCATGAAGAGCATTTCGGTGGCTTGCGCTAACACTTGCGGCATGGTGGACGGTTGTAACTTGCACAGCTCGATCAGAATCGCGCCTATCAGAGAGAGAACATAAAAAAATGATATACAGGGGGTCTCACTTTTAATGGAAACACCCCTGTATCTTACGTTATCGTTGGGTGAGGATCCTGAAATTTGCTGGAGCGAGATATACAGTCTGTCCAAGATAAGGTTGCACAGCATGGGGATCTCGGAAACGGTAGGAGATACGAAGTCGATTGAATGGGGAAAAAGTTGCGCATTCGGAGGCTCATACCAACAGCCTTCGAAAATTTTCAAAATGTTTTTTTAGTTTTTCAGTTAAATCGAAAAAAGTGAATTTTTGAAATCTCTATTTTATTTTTTTTTCTCCGTTATTATTAGAGATACAGGAAAACTGAAAATACTTTTTCATAGCAACTTTTGATGACGATTAACGTGGTGATACCGATTTTTCTATGCGACGTTTCGTATTCGTAGAACCATCACCAACTTCTGTTTTTTAAATACGGCCCTGATAATTCTTTCACAGATTCTGAAAGCTTTTTTTCTTCTGAATTCAACCATGTATTATACAAGGTGGTTTGAATGTGTTTCGAACTATTTTTAGCCATCATCAATGTTTTTTTGGAAATTCCAAAGGAAAAATGCCATCAGTTCCACTTATTTCGAAGGAAAATCAGCCAACAAACTAATACCTCATCAACTAAACTGGGCGTCAATTGAAACGTTAATAGTGAAATTTGGCATCAAGTTTGACTTCTCGTAATTTCTAAAATATTGAACGAATTTTGAATTGCCGCCCAGATTCTGAATGCCTTTTTCATCGTCTTTCGAACCGTTCCTTACAGCTTCTTCTAAATTGATCAGGACCCGTGATACAGGGTGAAACAAAGTTTCGTGCATTTTGAAAAGAATATCTCCGCCCCCCCCCATTTTGTCAGAAGACCACGATGCTCATATTTTATTCAGGCATTTCATAAATAGCAACCATACCTCGGGACATTTTCGAGTTTTTGCCAAAAACTACTCTGGTTTCCGAAAAAAAAAATTGTTTTGCATTTTTTTTAAATGGACTGATTACCTGTATCCTCAAAACGATGAATCAGTCTATTTATTGTCATGACTGACTCATTGAAAATGGTACTTAAATGAGTTTGGCTATATCCTAATCGTCATTTATTTATTTATTTATTCTCATATGAATACATTTACAAAGACATACATATTCTAATATTATAAAAATTCTAAATTTTATCTACTTCACATAGGTTATTGACCTGTGTGTGAATTAGATAATTATTATAAACTTTTTGTAAAAAATTTTCAAGTTCTTAAAAATATTAATTATCTGTACTGAATTATAGTTTATATCACTATAGTGATCTTACCTAATGATATTTTCCATTTCGACCCGATTTGAACGAGGCATCTTCAAATTTTTTAGGACCTGAATTACACTGACGTTTTCATGAAAATTGGCAATTGATATAACCTCTATGCATACCTACATTGTTTCAACAATACCTTGTTATAGAAACAAGGTATCGTTGTTTGTTTTTGTTGATGAGATGTGTTGATTTACTGCTCACTAAGGTAGAAAACTTTTATCATAGACTGCGAAGTAATAAATTATTGATTGTTTTTGAGTAACCTGGTATACATATCTGCTCCAACGCTTTCCTGAAATGCATAAAAGCATCCATTTATGGAACTCTTAAATTAGTCCAATTAAAAAAATACAAAAACATTTTTTTTTTCAGAAACCACAGTAGTTTTTGGCAAAAACTCGAAAACGTCCAGAGGTATGGTTGCTATTTATGAAATGCCCGAATGAAATATGAGCATCGTGGTCTTCCGACAAAATGGGGGGGCGGAGAATTTTTTTTCAAAATGCACGAAACTTTGTTTCACCCTGTATCATGGGTCCTGATCAATTTAGAAGAAGCTGTAAGGAACGGTTCGAAAGACGATGAAAAAGGCATTCAGAATCTGGGCGGCAATTCAAAATTCGTTCAATATTTTAGAAATTACGAGAAGTCAAACTTGATGCCAAATTTCACTATTAACGTTTCAATTGACGCCCAGTTTAGTTCCGATTGATAGACTTATAGGAATAATTAGTTCGAAAAATTTAATTATGCCAAGCTCCTTTGGATTAAAATATGAATACAATTCATAAACAATTCGAAGCGCTGAATTGAATAATTTAGTGGATTTTTTTTTTCACTTTTCAGTATTGAATAACTAGTCCATCAATGTTTGACACTGAATAATCAGAAATAAGTGAAACTGATGGCATTTTTCCTTTGGAATTTCGAAAAAAACATTGATGATGGCTAAAAATAGGTCGAAACACATTCAAACCACCTCGTTCAATACATGGTTGAATTCATAATAAAAAAAGCTTTCAGAATCTGTGAAAGAATTATCAGGACCGTATTTGAAAAACAAAAGTTGGTGATGGTTCTACGAATACGAAACGTCGCATAGAAAAATCGGTATCACCACGTTAAACGTCATCAAAAGTTGCTATGAAAAAGTATTTTCAGTTTTTCTGTATCTCTAATTATAACGGAGAAAAAAATAAAATAGATATTCCAAAATTTCACTTTTTTCGATATAACTGGAAAACTTAAAACAATTTTGAAAATTTTCGAAGGCTGTTGGTATGAGCCTCCGAATGCGCAACTTTTTCCCCATTTAACCGACTTCGTATCTCCTACCGTTTCCTGTGCAACCTCATCTTGGACAGAATGTATACCAAAATTGTGCTTTATGACCAAGTGGGGTCATCTTCAAAGATATACACTGCTCGCCAACAGCCGTGGAACTACACACATGTCCGAAAAATAATATCAAGAGACAGGATAGGTTGAAAAATCACCTCGGATTAGAAAACAGGACGTCCAATTCACTAACTTGCCATATTTTCACGCATTATTATTGGTAACTATTTTCTTTATACCTTCAACGAATTCACTCATTCATAATTTATTCATTTCAATGACACCCGTCATGATTTCTGATCCATTGGATAACTCTTGATAATTTATTCGATTGTACTAGTTCTGATTGTTATTTCATTATCCCTGATGAGAACTGACTTTATGATTATCAATTAACACGTTGACTACCCCGTCGGTCTATAGGACCGAGAAAAAAATATCCTAACGTGCCGCCTCGGTATCATAGACCGGGATGCGATTTTACTAAATATACTGTAAGCTAGCACAAACCACGCCCACCGTAATAATACAGGGTGACATTTTGAAAACTCAATATCTTTCATCCAGTGAATAATATGAAAAATTGAAAAGGCAGGTCAATTATATTTTCAAGTGGGGCACTAAAAATGAATATTTTCAACCCTCTTGGTTCATCCCCCTAGGAAGGGTCGATGTTATCCTTAGAATCTCACATAGGAAGTCCAAACATCACCTTCACTTTATCAGAGATCAGTCACCGACTGAAATAAATAAGCATATACGTTCTAAACAGTGGCGGCTCCTCAGAGGAGGCAACGGAGGCTGAGCCTCCTCAGAGATTTTCCTTAAACTAATATTATCTATACTTTCTCATTGAAATGACACCAAAATACATGGATTTTGATTCTATTTCCTGTTTTTAGTTAAATATTTTTGAATTGGCAACAGGGCTTGCCCACGCATCACACGTTGAAGTCTGCAAATCACGCGTAAAATATTCAACTTGGCAACATCTATAGGAGGCTAGATTTCGTCACATTGCGCAACATACGCGCGCAATGCAAATGCCCGAATATGCTTGAATAGCACGTGTTTGTCGTGTCGCTTCGCGAATTGCGGACAAACACGAGTGCATTGTTTATGTTAGGTTAATGGTTAGGGGCTCTATAAATTTCTAAAAAATGAGTGTTTTAAACGATTGCGATTTAGTGGGATACTTTTTGGTGAACCCATTCAGTGCTTTGTCTTATGAAGATAAATTGATTGTGAAAAACAAACGTCCGACACCGGAATTAAAAAATCTAATTGTAACAGGACGTAACAAACAAAATCGTTCGTTCAATTCTGATAATTATAAAAAATATATCTGGTTGACGGGATCGGTAAGGAATAAACTATTTTGTTGGTATTGCGTATTATTTTCAACCGATAAGTCATCATGTCGGGGGCGATAGGATATAATGATTTGAAAAATTTGCCTTGCGGATTGGATAGACACTGCAAATCACAGGAACACATCACTTCAAGTATTAAGTTCAGGTTAACTGGTTAACAGAATATCATTAAAGCTATTGATTTGAGTGAGTAGAGAGTTGTTTTTCACATTGAATCTCATATCATTCAGCCTCCTCTTGACATGAAAGTCACGAGCCGCCACTGGTTCTAAAAGATGTTAATTTTGCCTATGTTTCGCTAACATTCTATTTGCGTTGAAAGTGCAATGAAATGTACTCACTAAAATTGCAATCACGAGTCCAATCTGGATCAGTAACGGGGATACAGAGGGTAGAAAGTCAAGGTTTTTTTTTCAGATGAATAAAATAAAAAAGAAACATAGGCAAAATTAACATGTTTTAGAACGTTTATGCTTATTTATCTCAAAAACGGTTCGTTTCTCGAAAACAATTGAAGACCAAAGAAAGCTTCTGAATTGAACGATCCACACAATTTGTACACTGAAAGATGCCAGAGGCGTAATACGGAAAAGTTTGGGGGGAATAAGGAAGCCTCTCCCCCCAAAAACATATCATCCTGTAGATTTTGATAATCTTTAAATGGCTTGAAATGATGATCTTCTGGGAAATATTGTCCACACCGAATTTCAAAATAATATCTTGAAAAGTAAGAGATATTTCAGCTATTAGAAAAAAATAATTGAGCTTTGACCCCCTGTAGCTTCGCTATTGAAAGAGATCGGACTAATGTTTATATAAACTTTTTTGATTAAAATGATGAGATCTATTCTCCATTTCAGTTTGTGCCTTAAAACCTGAATCACCCTGTATATCACATATACCGGGTGTCCCATTTTAATCTTTATTTGGAAATTTCTCGAAATGTATGCATCTGACAAAAAAAATTGCCGAATAAAAGTTGTATGGTTTGGAGGGGGACGTCTGGTTATAAAACAAGTTTCACCCCCTGATCCCCAGGGAAGTGGGAAATGGAGGTAACATTGAAATCTTTAATGGAAACCCCTATTTTTTATTGCTGATTCTGGAAGAGCATTAAAAACTATGAAGCTTTTATTCGGGAACTTCTTTTTTATTTTCACAAGATGGCGCTGCGATCTTGAAAAACAATATTTTACTATTTAGTTTGTAGTTGGCCACCCAGATCACCCGACTTGACTTCCCCAGACTTCTTTCTGTGAGGTTACATCAAAAACATTGTGTTTCGCGAACCCCCAACCACACGCGAGAATATGAAAGATAGAATTAGAGGAGCGTGCATGGCTTTAACGCCTGCTATGTTGGAAGCGACAGTGCGGAATTTTGAAAAACGAGTGAACTTGTGTATTCAAGAAAATGGAGGTCATTTCGAACACTTGATAAAGAAGTCAATCTCACCTAAAACCAGCTTTAGTCTGACCTAAATGATACCTTAATTGCTGAACCATGATTATTTTTCTCTTTTCTATGTAGAGGTGTCAAGGTGAGTAAGTTCGTTTAGCGTTAATTTGTCGTGTGAATATCACCCCAATGGCGTTTGTCTGGGAAAATATCACACCCTACACTCTTCCTCGTCTTCAAGAGGTTGAAATGTGTAAATAGTGAAATATAGTTTTTTACGATCGCAGCGCCATCTAGTGGAAATAAAAAAGAAGTTCCCGAATAAAAGCTTCATAGTTTTTAATGCTCTTCCAGAATATGTAATAAAAATAGGGGTTTCCATTAAAGATTTCAATGTTACCTCCATTTCTTACTCCCCTGGGGGTCAGGGGGTGAAACTTGTTTCATAACCAGACGTCGCCCTCCAAACCATACAACTTTTATTCATCAATTTTTTTTGTCAGATGCATACATTTCGAGAAATTTCCAAATAAAGATTAAAATGGGACACCCGGTATATACAATGATTGATGGCTGTTGTTGTGCTATAGTTCCGAAAAACGACTTCGCGGTTACGTATATTACTAAAGAACCACTAAATTCGCAATTTTTTGAAATCAAATCACAGAATTAGACTGACAGAAATGACACCAGATATTTGATTACATCAAAATAATGATAAAGATGCCTACAACGCAGGTGTCCCTACTGTTAAAAACTTAAAATTTCACGCCGATAATTTTCAGATTTCAAAATAATGTAAAATCTTCGCAATATTGATTCGTACTTTCTTCTTTCACAGAAAAAAATAGTGCATTATACACGGGAAAAATAATTGAATTTTAGCTCACGATTTTTTGTCTCCCTCCGATACGCGTCGGGAGACAAGACAACCTGGAGCTAAAATCTTCTACTTTTTTCCCTTGTATAATTGATAACTATTATTCAGTCAGTGATTTTTTTAATGTGTGATTTTATTTTAATTGAAGACCTTTGAGGATTGCTTTTCAAGGGGGCAACCGAATGATGGATAAGAACAATTTTAGAATAATTTAAAATTTAACCAGTTGTGATTGTGACAGTTGCATACTTTTTATATGTATATATTTGTGTATTTCTGTAATGGTTTTCTATTTAATACTTACTACTTTCAGTTTCATCACCCATCTGAAAAACAATATATTACTCACCATAAGCTATTTCGAGATATCTAGGCGTAGGCATATGGAACAATTCAGCGAATATGACTTCGACAATGCAATATTCGAGTGGAATTTTCAATTTGTAGGGAAAATTCAGAAGGTGTGCAGCGCAATCTTTCCTCTCCAGATGGTACAATTCGATGATAGAGTGCAGGTGTTCTTCTATCAGAAATCTTTCCACTGAATGCGCTCCGGGTAAAATGGGGCCTTCCGGGCAATCAGTGTAGTCGAAAAGTCTGGAAATTTCAGGGGGAAGGGGTCAGCCATAGTGGAATTTTGGGGACATCTTCAGGAATTTCGGGGAAATCTTCAGGAATTTTGGGAACATCTTCAGAAATGTTGGGGAAATCTTCAGGAATTTTGGGAACATCTTCAGGAATTATGGAAAAACCAAAAAAATTTCGTAATTGATTGGAGAAGAATGAATGCTGACGTCTATCCCGAGCCGAATTGGATATCTCCGTTCGCTAGATATGACGATTTTGGAATTATTATGAAAAGACAAATCTTGACAAACATAAACTTACATATAGAAAGAATCGCTTTTTTTTAGATTTCGGATTTTTTTTGATTTTGAAGCCGTATTGAATGAGGAGAATGAATGCTGAAAAACATAAACATGCATAAAAAGAATCAATTCTCTGGATTTTTAAATTTTCTATTTTCTAAACTGTATGACAATTTTGGATTCTTTATGAGAAAAATGAATGCTCACAGAGATAAACATAGGAAGAATCGTTTTTTTTTTACTTTCCAATTTCCTAATTGTGGGGCTGTATTTCATATAGTAGTCTCCTTCCTTATGCAGAAAAGAATATTTTTCTTCCTTATATTACGTCAAAATTCGGGTCGATCGAAATTTGGGTCAATCGAAATTTGCCTGAATCGAAAATTGGGAAAAGTTATATTTTGAAACTAGGTATATGGTGACTGATTTCAGTGCCTGAGGATCAATTTTCGTGACAAACACAATGCTTTGGAAATGTTTTTATAGAAACGCAGAATTTTTGACAAAATAATGAGTTTCAGCCACTTTTCGAGAATTCATATTTTCAAAAAACACCTTGTAACTTTGAAACGAAGATAGATATCTATATGCAGTTTCGACCATTGAAGTTGTCATGTGAATTGACAATAGGCACTAACATCAGTTTTTTTTCATCTAGTACGGTAGTAGGACTTTCCCTTTGAAAGTGTCTAATTTGGCCCACCCTGTACATTATTTCTAGAAAAAACTTTTTCAGTTGAATATTTAACGAGACACTTTTATTATTTTATTATCTACTTCTGTTTAGTTTAACTACACATAAAAGTGTGTTTTCTTAGTTTTTCAAACTACATTTATTTTCTACTGCTTTTCAGTTCGGTAATCTATCTCTTCAGTTTTCTAAACTACTATTTATTTTCTACTTCTTTTTGATTTGGCTATCTATGAAAGTGTGCTTCATTAGTTTCTATAGAAACTATTTATTACAATGCTCGTTCGACATATTGAATCCGCCATCTTGAATTTTGTAATTATGACGGAGAAATCAGAATCTCCGACCACGAAAATCCTTAAAGAATTTTGAATAAAACGGATCATAATTACAAAAGGCGTCCGCCATATTGGATCCGAAATGAGTTTTCAAATTTTGAGGCAAGATTCATAATCTTCGACCCCCAAAACCACCAGATACCCATTTTCAGTAGAATCGGAACATTATTACAAAACTCGTCCGCCATATTGGATCCGCCATCTTGATTTTTCCAATTTTGATAAAAGAATCATAATCTCCGACCCCAAAAACCACCAGAAAATTTTAAATAGAATCGGATTATAACTACAAAACTCGTTCGCCATATTGGATGCACCATCTTGAACTCTCCAATTTTGATAAAAAAAACAAAATCTTCGACCCCGAAAATTCTTCAATACCAATTTTGTATAGAATCGGGTCATAATTACATAATTCGTCCGCCATATTGGATCCGCCATCTTGAATTTTTAAATGTTGAGGATAGAATCATAATCTCCGATACCAATTTTGAATAGAATCGGATTATAATTACAAAACTCGTCCGCCATATTGAATTTCTTAATTGTGTCTGTCATAGAAACCTTCTCCTGACAATAACAAACACAACAAAAAAACAATTAGTGAAATCGGTCAGGCCGTTTACGATTCTATAAAGGACATACAAACATTCATTTTTATATACAGTGCTTTTCTTGAATGTCCCCCACTCCCATCCCTTTTATTTTTTGACGGGTCGACTGAACAAATTAAAACATAAGGTAGGTAATGAAATTGATGCATGGATACAATATTTTGGAATGAAATTGACAGATGAAAATTTCAAGATGGCGACTGGGCGCCATCCAAGAAACAAAATTAAATGGAAAGGGAGTCTTGTGATGATACATCCTTTTGAAGCTCCTGACGACTACTTCACAACCCTAAAATATGAAGTCAATATCTCCACCAAATGGCGGTACATTTAATGATGGATGGCCTGAATACATCAACGTTTACTTCATAGTTTGAGGAAATGAGCTGAGTTCAGATCAGAAGATGCTAGAAATGTGCCTTGAACTTCTTGACATAAGAACAGCCTATCCGATATTTTACGCCGTGTTATATATGTCAATGTTTCATACGTTTATTGTTTCATTTATTAATAACTAGCAGACCTCGCGAACGTTGTTTTGCCATGTACATTATTTGTATAATATATTTTTTCAGTTGAATATTCATCATGACACTATTATAATTTTATTTTCTACTTTTTTTTAGTTTCGCTATCTATAAAAGCGTGTTTCTTTAATTTTTCAAACTACCATTTATTTCAACTTCTTTTAAGTTCACTTGAATTTCCCAATTTTGACGAAAGAATCATAATATTCGACTCCTAAAACCCCAGATGAAAATGTTGAATAGAATCGGAACATAATTACAAAACTCGTCCGCAATATTGGATCTACCATCTTGAATTCCCTAATTTTGACGAAGGAATCATAATTTTTGATCCCGAAAACGCCCACTTACAAATTTTGAATAGAATCGGTATATAATTACAAAACTCGTCCGGTATATTGGTTCCACCGTCTTGAATTTCCAAATCCCGCCCTTTCCTAATTTTGACAAAAGAATCATAATCTCCGACCCCGAAAACACCCAGATAACAATTTTGAAGAGAGTCGGATCATAATTACAATACGGGTTCGCCATATTGGGTCCACCATCTAAAATTTCCTAATTTTGACGAAAGAATCATAATCTCCGACCTCGAGAACCACCAGATACCAAATTTGAATAAAATCGGATCCTAATTACAAAATCCGCCATTTCGGATCCGCCATCTTGAATTTCCTAATTTTGACGAAAGAATCATAATCCCCGATCACGAAAACCCCTAGGTACCAATTTTGAAAAGAATCAGATTATAATTACGAAACTCGTCCGCCTTATTGAATTTCCAAATTCCGCCCGAATTTTCAAATTCCGACAAAAGAATCATGATATCCGAACCCGAAACCCCCAGATACCAATTTTGAATAGAATCGGACCATAATTACAAAACTCGTCCGATATAATATTAGATCCGCCATCTTGAATTTCCTAATGGTACCTGGATAAAAAGTATCCTATAACATTCTCCTGGTTCTAGAACTTCTAGAAGTGCAGTCAATCGTCAGTACGTCAGTCAGTGTGTTAGACACCAATACTGGTTAAAGTGACGGTCCTGTGTTGTTAGACACGACTGACGTTCAGAAGACATGGAACTCAATGTATCCAATGAATCCATCGGAATCCATAAAAAATATTCCACATAAATTAAATAATAAATAACACCATATCACCAAACTGCACCAGAACAATAACAAATCCAATCTTATGTTCTGTCTCCAGAATTTCATAATTCTTAGTTGTTAAGTTGAAAGTTGACCAACTTTAAAATTCTTAATTCTTTATTTAAATGGCAGATGTAAATGAATAAACTCTTATAGATCTTTTCTTGTATTCAACTTTTTAAATTCATAGTTATTAGTTTAATTCTTAGTTTAGTTGAATCTATAAACCCAGCAATCAACAAAACATAGAAAGAATCGATTTTTTGGAATTTCAATTTTTTTTATGTTCCGAGCTGTATTTTATTAGAAGAATGAATGCTGATAGACAAACCCCAGCCAAATCGTGTCATCCGTTTGCTAGATCTAACAATTTTGGATTTTTTATGAAAAAAATGAATGCTGACAGACAGAAAGAAACATAGAGAGAACCGTTTTTTAGATTTTCAAATTCAAAAATCAAAAAATTCGATTTTTGTAAGTGGTTTTTTGTCTGTCAGCATTCATTTTTCTTCAAAAAATCCAAATGGATTAGCGCGCCAAAGGTTTCAGTCTACAATACCGGGTGTCCCAAATTATCGTATACAGGCAATTTCTGGCTTATTTGACAAGATAATTGAAAAATTCAAAAACTGCATTGAATGACATTCAAAAAAATCTATTACATTTGACAGTTCTCTGGCAGCTATCTCCAACTTTTCATCCTCAAATGGCATTGTCATTGACTTGGTATTTTTTTATTATTATAACAAAAACAGCAACTTTCAATGAAGTATGAATTTCAACTTAAATAGCTTTTATGTGAATCAAAAAATGAACTAAAAATTACAGCAAGTGTTCAAAAGGATAGTTGAGTAACTTGAAAGATATCTCAAAATGATATTTTTGTTATCAATAAAAAATACCAGGTATATCTCCAGGTATATGGTATCATTGTATTCCAAATTGAGTGACAGGTAATTTCCAATGACAATATACAGGGGATGCCATTTGAAAATAAAATGTGGGTGGAAGCAGCCAGAGAACTGTCAAATAAAATGGACTTTTTTATATGTTGTTAGGAAGGTACTTCAATGTCATCCAATAAAGTTTTTGAATTTTTCAATTATCAACTCAAATAAGTGAGATATTGCCTGTAAAGGATAACTTGGGTCACCGGGTATATAGAAATATAGTGGAAATGATATACCAGAATATATCAGGAAGTGCACCAGATATCCTTGAATGCAGGGAACACTGAGAATATGTGACAATGCTGGAAAATGCGGGAAATACCAGGAAATACAGGGAAATATAAGGAAATGCCAGGCAATACTAGGAAATATTGGGAAATGCAGTGCAATATATCATGAAAATCAGGAATATCAAGGGAAATGGCAATAACACCTTCATTGAAAATGGCTTGTGGCAAGACCCTTGAATTCCATTTTACATGAGATTTAACAAGTAGAAATTTCCAGAATTTCTCACTAATTATAGATTATTTTGAGTGTAGATTCCTTGAGAATATAATCTAGATCCAATTTATTTTTTAATTCCATGGAATTCTCAGAATATCCATAGACATAGTTTGGTTAAGAAAATGTTAACTATGGTAGTTTCATCATTCCCTAAAAATTTCAGAATTTTCCTTGAATTTAATTGGAATTTCAGAGTTCCTTCTTTGAGATACTGATTTGAGTATCCAAAATGTTGACTTTGATTTATATCATAATCAAGTAATAACAGGGTTTTCAACTTTATTTTAAATCCCCACTCAACTGGTTTATGTATTGTTCAATAATTTTTTTCAAGGAATATCCTTTCATATTTTTTTCTGTATATTTTATATATGCTAACAGAAAAACAGTTGAACATCTCAAAAAATACTCAGGGGCAACAGCCAAAACAGTTTTTATGTCCCTATCTCAGCTACTAACATTCAATTGAAACAAATACAGGGTCATCAGAATTTTGATCTTTCAACCACCCTGTATTTGTTTCAATCAAATGCTATATCTCTGTAATCATTTCAGCTAGACCCCAAGTGTGATGGAGATAGATCAATGGAATCAGTTCTCCAGGGAAAATATCATGAAATCCAATTAAATACAGGGTGTCCTATTGAAAAATGTATAAATGTTGAACATAAGTATTTTTTGGATGTTTTTCTATCGGCACATATAAAATCTACAGAGAAAAATATGGAAGAACATTCCTTGAAAAAAAAACTTTATCAATACATAAAAAACTTCATTGGGGGTTCAAAATATATGTAAATAAGACCCTGAACATAGGCATATTATTGCCTGTATTTGAATATGAAAAGATAGATGAAATCATTATTATAATTATAAATAGATATTATCTCACCTGAACACAACCCATGGCATAGGGTACTGATAACTGTCATGATGAGGAGGAGGTATGATAGAAGGCAAATTATGCTGCAGAGCCTCACACAAAATTGAATCAAAAGCCAGATAAGGCCTGGGTATATGCTTCTCAGCCCAATTATCTTGCCTCAACTTTCTCACCTGAGCCCACAAACAATCCAAATACTCCTCCTGAGGATGAGGCACATCAACAGCCCACACTCTCAAGGCATTGTGGTGCTTTTTGGATCTTTTGTTCAAGAAAACCTCAATTTGCACCATGAGGTGTTCCAGAGATTTTTCTTTTTTCTCATACAACTCTCTGCCTACCCAGGGCAGGGTACTCAAAATTGCAAACACATACCAGTCCCTTCTGACTTGGGGAACATTGTCCTCATTTGCAGTGTCAATCATGTTATCCAAGAGCTGGATGAGGGAAGTAGCTGAAATTACATGGCAATTGACCAAGTCAGCAAGGAACCTCAAGGCATATCTAGATGCATCCCATTTGCAGGTTTTGAGGGATTCCTTGAAAGTTTTGACCATGTACTCCACAAACTCTCCACCAAAATTGAAATTTTTAGCGTTCAAAAGTCCCACTAGGGTTGTGTAAATAGTGCATTTTTCTGGCATTCGAATTGCACATTCTGTGAGGATTCTCAGTATTTTAGCTCTAAAAGTGGACAAATCTGCTTCTAGAACACTGGCCAAACCTTCTAGATTGCTTTCCAGAGAAGAAGTGCTTTTTTCTCCTACTCTGAGGATGAGGGATTCCAGTCTGTCTTCTATTTCTTGGTTTTCTGATACACGTCGCCTTTTTCTATAGGCTCGCTCTAAAATATAAGACGAAATTGAAGGTTTGGATGGAAAAGAGTGATGAATGTACTTACCGTATCCATCGTCATCTTCATGGGGACGTCTGCGACTCATCTTGTTTTTAAAATGATTATTTAAAGATGAAAATATCAGGCAAATACGGCAAACAACAAGCGTTTTGTTGGCATAACAGCATAACCCCAAAAATTATTGACAATGGTGACATTGACATAGAAATATGGCTATGTCTCGTGTACCGTTCGGCTGACAAATATTAGAAAGATAACTCTTCTTATTTTGACGTCCGCAACACACCTGAATTTTCTACAGGTACTTTCAAATTTCAATGCAACAACCAGTATCTGCTCAGACTATTCCTTTCCACTTCCAGGAAATTATACCAGTGCTTCGATCAGTTGAATCACATGCAAATATTTATTCTCGGACGGCGAGATGGAATTCCAAACTCATTAATTGATTGGAAGGACCTTCGATTTTTTTCATTAAACTTTACTCTGACACTCTTGTATCCGGCCGTCTGTTGTCCCAGGAGTGCACGATGATATACAGTGTGACCCACTTCTAATGGAAACACCCCTGTATCTTACGTTATCGTTGGGTAACGATCCTGAAATTTGCTGGAGTGAGAGATATACCAAAAATGCACTCTATGACCAAGTGGGATCATCTTCGGTGATATACACTGCTCGTCAACAGCCATGGAACCACCCCAATTTCCGGAAAATGATATTAGGACTCAAAATAGGTTGAAAATCACTTCGGATTCGGAATCAGGACGCCCAATTCACTGACTATACATATTTTTTCTGGAAAATTTTCAGTTCAGAAGAATCAAATTTTGTCTCACTTCTCATGGAAGCACCCCCGTATCTCACGTAATTATTGGGGTAGGGTACTGAAATTTGCAAGAGGAAGGGAGAGTCCAAATATGAAGGCAATTACGTAAGATACGGGGGTGCTTCCATAAAAAGTGCGACAAAATTTAATTTTCCAGAACTAAAAATTTTCCAGGAAAAATATGAATAGTTAGAGAATTGGGCGTCCTGATTCCGAATCTGAAGTGATTTTTGACCTATTTTGACTCCTAATATCATTTTCCAGAAATTGGGGTGGTTATCCATGGCTGTAAGCGAGCAGTGTATATCACTGAAGATGACCCCACTTGGTCATAGAGTGCAATCTTGATTTCTCGTTCCAGCAAATTTCAGGATTTTTACTCAACGATTACGTAAGATACAGGGGTGTTTCCATTAGAAGTGGGTCACACTGTATATTAACGGTAACGGAAACTCAGGATGAGTCACTTGAAATAAATGGCGTTTACATTGCGGTTAAATTGCGGTATAGGGACTGAGCGATTCTCGTAAAAATGCAGCAAAATCCAAAAAGTGTTGCGTCACAAAGGTAAACACGATTGGAGGTGAATTCGAATTTGTTAGTGAAAGGTAATGGAAAAAGATCCGAATCCTGGGCCGATACATTGTTCTATCGTATATCTGGAGGAAAATAAGCATACGCCACCTAGTGAGATATTTGAAAGCTGTCTGGATCCGTCAGCAATCATTTAGACACTATCAATGTTTTGAAAAGAAATACATGTTTGTAAATAAATGGAAGTGATGAGATTATGAATGATTTGAATAATGAGATAGGAAGAATTTTAGCCCATCCAGAAAGTCTGGCATACAAAATCGTGCACATTTCCGTAATAAAAATGAACTCTTGAACTTATACAATACAGTGAGTTGCATTTTTCCAAAATTGGGTAGTCAGGATGTCTTGTAGTTATGCAGATGGCCTTTCTAATTATGAAAATAAAGGAGTTTTAGGAAGCCCAGAGGTAGGTTGAAGTCATTATCATCATCAAATTATTTACTATGGTATAAGTAGTCAGTACCCATACAAAACAAATTATCTTCAATGAGAATATTCATTCATACTAAAGACAAAAACTAGATCAGATAAAAAATCAGGTATTATCCAAGAAAGTGATTCAACTGAAAGAACTGAATACTGGTACCACAGATTAAAGAGAATGCATTATATGGTCTATATAAATCAGCAAAAATGTATATTATTTTACAGAAATTTGATTCAGAGGAAAAAGTAGAGTCTAAATGTAACCTTCTCATAGAATGGATTAAAAACTCCAAACACATAGTTGTTCATACTGGGGCAGGAATAAGTACAGCAGCTGGTATACCAGACTTCAGGTAAGACATATATAGGGGGTTCAAATAATACAATGATATACCTCCCTCAATCTTGTTCTGAAATTGGATGATAGTCCTAAACATAGGTACTTGTAAGTCAAGAATTATAGGTAGGTAAGGAGGAAGGAGGTAGGTACTGCTTTGATTGAGAATTTGATCCTTTAATTACATGTTCATCAACAAATTTGAAGTAGGTGTACTTACAAAAAGAATCTGACTGAAATCATCTCAAAATGATTTTCACTGTCAAACACTAGCAGATAGCAGAAGACACTTTGATTAAACATTTTCAATATTTCAGGCAAAAAATAATGCTTCTTGAATAACTCAATTTCTCAGGAATGGAAGTAGACTAATCATGTGTATCACTTCATTCATAATCACAAGTACATTATTAGGAAAATATGTACACTAGGATAATGAAAATTACAGTGTATGAACTAGATAATCAGTCTGCATTTTATGCTTTACAAAAATGTTCCACTACTTTTCAAATGAATTATAATTATTAGTTCTAACAACATGGTTTTTTGTTCAAAGTTCAAAGCATTCACAGCCATCTAATGTTCCAAAAGTCTTCTGTTTCATAGAACTCAACTAAGCCCATCACTTTTTGACCACAGCCATGGCCATACTGATGTCAAAAAAAGAAAGAAAGACACAAATTCCAAATTATTTGGAAAAAAATAATTGTTGATTAAAAATACAGAGAATTTCCTAATCCAAAGATTTGAAAGAGAAAATTTTTCTGGTGAAAATCATGCCCTTATATCACATAAGCCTCTGCATTTTCTGCTTTACAAAAATGTTTGACTATTTTTCAGATGAATTATAATTATTAGTTCTAACAACATGTTTTTTTTGGTGAAAGTTCAAAGCATTCACAGCCATCTAATGTTCCAAAAGTCTTCTGTTTCTTTGAACTCAAATAAGCCCATCACTTTTTGACTACAGCCATAGCCATAGCCATGTCAAAAAAAAAGAAAGGCACAAATTCCAAATTATTTTGAAAAAAATAATTGTTGATAAAAGATACAGAGAATTTTCTAATCCAAAGATTTGAAAGAGAAAATTTTTCTGGTGAAAATCATGCCCTTATATCACATAAGCCTCTGCATTTTCTGCTTTACAAAAATGTTTGACTATTTTTCAGATGAATTATAATTATTAGTTCTAACAACATGTTTTTTTTGGTGAAAGTTCAAAGCATTCACAGCCATCTAATGTTCCAAAAGTCTTCTGTTTCATTGAACTCAAATAAGCCCATCACTTTTTGACTACAGCCATGGCCATACCCATGTCAAAAAAAAGAAAGGCACAAATTCCAAATTATTTTGAAAAAAATAATTGTTGATAAAAGATACAGAGAATTTTCTAATCCAAAGATTTGAAAGAGAAAATTTTTCTGGTGAAAATCATGCCCTTATATCACATAAGCCTCTGCATTTTCTGCTTTACAAAAATGTCTGACTATTTTTCAGATGAATTATAATTATTAGTTCTAACAACATGGTTTTTTGTTCAAAGTTCAAAGCATTCACAGCCATGGCCATACTGATGTCAAAAAAAGAAAGAAAGGCACAAATTCCAAACAAATTATTTTTTAAAAAATAATTGTTGATAAAAAATACAGAGAATTACCTAATCCAAAGATTTGAAAGAGAATTTTTTTCTGGTGAAAATCAAGCCCTTATATCACATAGATAAGCCTCTGCCTTTTCTGCTTTACAAAAATGTTTCACTATTATGCAGATGAATTATAATTATTAGTTCTAACAACTTTTTTTTTTATTTGTTCAAAGTTCAAAGCATTCACAACCATCTATGTTCCAAAAGTCTTCTTCTATTTCATAGAACTCAACCAAACCCATCACTTTTTGACCACAGTCATGGCCATACTGATGTCAAGAATAGAGAGAAAGACACAAATTCCAAATTATTTGGAAAAAAATAATTGTTGATTAAAAGTACAGAGAATTTCCTAATCCAATGATTTTAAAGAGAAAATTTTGGTAAATCTGCATTTATAATGTGATGGGTTTTTTCTGAAAAATGTTTTTGGTACTTACATATTTTTGTATGAAAAACACAAATTTGATAATGAAAATGTGAACAAACCATTATTTATTAAGATATTTGACTATAAAGTTACAAATTTCACCTTCTTTTCCATCTGTCTTCTGGATGGCATTTAGAACAATATTTGCCCTCCTTTTTTCATCATTGGACAATTTACATAGGACACATTTTTTTTTTTTCTATTATATGTGTCAGAAGTATGGATTTTCTTGAGATTTATCCATATTTAGTGAAAAGAAGGAAGAATATCATTTGAAATAATGGCCTGTGTAATGTCATTCCAAAGCAATCCATTGACATTTGACATCTCATATTTGGATTGACTTGAGATGGCTACAAGTGTAGCCATCTTAGATTGACTATTGATTAAATGGCCGTCATCTGGTATGCTCGTTCACTAAATATGGAAAACTCGCCATAAAAATCATATTTCCTGTTGAATTTTCTATATAAAAATGTGTCATTGAAGTACATAAAGTGTCCAATGACATAATAAGAAGAGCAAGTGGCTGTAAATGCATCCAACAAAAGGGGAGAAAGAAGGAGAGATTGCGAACTTTTTCTCGAAATACCTCGGTTAATAGCAGGGTTGGCATGAATTAATTCATATATGAATTAAGTCAGTGATTTAATTGGTGAATTAATTCAAATGACTTTTTTCAAACAAGTCATGAATTGATTCAAAAATCATCAAATGGGAACAAAATTCATTATTACCTTCAATTTAAACTAGTTCAAAGTGCAATATCCGATGGCATCTGACAACTGATAACCGTGAAACATCCACACGCGGAAAACTCAATTTTCTAAGTGTGGATTTATGCAGCGTCATTTAACATGTATCATGTAACAATTATCAATTAACATTTATCATGTAACAAGTAGCGAAAATGGTACCCATCTATGCAGACCAAATTAACATTTAAGAAGAAATTATACGCATGCGCACAAGTCAGTCCTTTCAACCTAACCCTCCTTTTTTAGGTAAAAAAAATAATACATTCTCAAATGTTATAAACATATAAACATTTGTTTCCTGAAATGGAAGAGGCAGAAGCGCCTTTTGTCCTGATGATGCTGTTGACGGCACGACATTTAATTTTTAGGTTAATTTCATTACCGGGCGGACCAATCCAAGATAATTTGCGTACAAGGTTGCGCACAATAGGAAAATCTGGTTCATTTAATGTAAGAAGTTAAAAGTTGGCCAACATTCTACATGTTACATGATAAATGATAATTGTTAAATGTCTGCATAAACACAGTCATTGGAAAATAGAAATTCAACTTATAATTGTTAATTGTAAAATGATAACTGTTACATGATACATGTTAAATGATGCTGCATAAATCCACACTTTAAGAGCCCCTTCACAGTTTACAATTTTTCATTGCATGCAATTGATTACTCCAATTCGTACTTCCGGCAAAAATAATATTTAGGCTATTCAACACTGAATCGGAATTACCAGCTTGTAATGTCTTTTTATCATAGATTCTGTGTATTATTTCTCACCGAGTTTTGAGTTGGGTCGAGAGTTGGGTAGAAGAAACCATGAGAAAGGCAAGAAAAGTAAGATCCAATGTGCATCTAATGATGCATGAAATTCCGAAAATCTAACATGTCACCACTAGAATTGCACTAGTAATACAAATTACCGCAATATAAATAAATAGGTCCGGACTCATTTCTTGCAATGCAACGAAAAATTGCTTTCCAAGGTAACACTAATAGGCGCGCCATGGACATTGCTGCATTTTTTTGAAAATAACTGTAAAGCGCCTCTATAATGAACATTGTGAATGAGTAATATAAGTTGCATAAACATCATTTTTGGCATATTTCAAGTATTTTATTGTTATGCTTTGAGATTTTTAACGGAAATGAATAGAATTTGATTTGTTCTCAAATGAACTAATTCAAAAAAGTCCGAATTAATTCAAAAAGTCGGACTTTTTTGACTTTTTTTCAGACAAAAATACATACCTGACTGCCAAAAAAAAATCCGGAAAAAAACCCATTGCTGATGAATGCAGTTTCACCAAAATTTTTCTGGTTAAAATCAAATCCTGATATCACATAAATAAGCAAAGATTCAACATTTTTTAAGGGGTCCTAATGGTGTCTGGACACTGGAAAAGCAAGGCAAAAAACCAAACATCAGCATCTCCTTTAATGAAGCCATTCCTACAAAAACACACATGGCACTCAAACATTTGATAGAAAAAAACTATGTCCACTATATCATCAGCCAGAATATAGATGGCTTGCATTTAAGATCTGGTATCCCCAGAAATTGCATTGCAGAATTACATGGTAATATGTTTACAAGCCAATGCAACGTTTGTGAGAGGTAAGTTGAGTTGGTAAAGAAGCTCCTAAGTTTGAAGTTTTTGTTAATTTTGCCCAAGTGTCATATAATGGGTACTTTTTCTAAAAACATTGTTTTTCTTAAGTACAGGTGAACCTCCCCTCAACTCTATTGTTTAGTGGTATGGAAAAATGTTGAATGCAAAAGACTAAATTGACTAAAATTTTCATTTTATAATGTTTTTTTCAATATTATTATATTAACATTCATTTTTCTCCAAAGGACATCAACTCTGATTTTTGTAATGAAACACACTATATATTTTTTTATTACAAAAATATAAATAAGTTGCATATTTGGATGAAAAAATTCTAGCAAAATTTGGCATATGTCATTCCAACTGTAACTCTTTTAATGTATTTTACGGAAGAACGGATGACCCTGTATATAAAACAGCATTACAAAATAAAAATTTGGGTCGGTTCAAACAACTTTTTCATTTGACATTTTTTCATATCTCCAAAAACAGAAGGGTTATTGAGAGGGGGTTTAATTTTAGGAGGAGCACCCTGTACAGTCAGCGATTTTGTTCCTTTGATAAAATGGAAGGAAACATGATAAACCAGGGTGAAATCGTACTATCTGTTGAATACTGTCTGTAGGTTAATTGAGGAGGTGGTACATTCATTATTCCAAATTTTTTTGGATTTTCTCTCCTCGTCTTTATAAAATGAGAATATGAATATTATTTCAATATAATATACCAACAAGAAAAATTCACTGGCTTGTCAGGAGAAGAGAAATAAAGGTATATAGAAAAAATATCAAATTTTCACTTACCTATCTCTGGACGTTTCGGCACCGATTCTGCTCCCGTTTTCAACATAAGAAAAGATTATTTCAATAGCAAAGTCGTATCTATCTTGAAGCTTTTCAGTTTTCACTGACAATTGGTGACGTAGGCAATCAAATGAGTTACAGTATGTTTTTTAGGCTCTCTGATAGGAAAATTCTTAAAACACAGTGACATTTTGGGGCAAAACATCTGATTTGTCCTTACTAAACATATATTGAAATAATATTCATATTTTGATTTTATAGAAAAGAGGAGAGAAAATCCCAAAAAATTTTGAATAATGAACGTACTATCTGGTTAATTTTCCATATGAAAAATATAATTTTCCTTATACCTATGTGCCTGTGATGAAATTTCTCAACTTGTGATGAATATCATCTAAACCACTTCAGAAATAATAATAGAAAACCATCTTCAGGATAGAGCATCTCTAAGAGATTGTAGCTCTATTAGAAACTATGTCTCTACCACACAGGTGTATTTCACTTAAATTAGGTGGCACTGTATGTAACAAAATAATTCAAAGATATAACAGGGTGAGTCATTAGTGTGGCAAAGTGAGATAACAACTTTACTGTTTGAGATAGACGAATAAAAATTTCACAGATGATCTAGGATCATGAACAGCACATTTCCAAATTATTTTGCTTTATACAGGGTGACTCAGAAATGAGTGGCGTATCAAAGTTATACTTTTTCTTATGGGACACCCTGTATTTCATTGCATGTTCGCATTCTCCTTTGTGAGCTGATTTCATCAATGCATCACACTTTGGGTCTAGCGAGAATGATTACAGAGATATAGGGTGTTAAAAATCGAGATTTTTCAACTTTAGGATTTTTTTTACAATCTACTGACATTTGATAACCCTTGTATCTGTTCCAATTAAATGTCAGTAGATAGTAAATCAAAAGTTGGGATAGGGACATGAAAGCCGTTTTGACCAATAATGAATAGTTTCGACACAAAAAAATCCTGAAGTTGAAATATCTCGATTTTGAACACCCTATATCTCTGTAATCATTTTTGCTAGACCCCAAGTGTGATGCATTGATGAAATCAGCTCACAAAGGAGAATACGAAAATGCAATGAAATACAGGGTGTCCCATAAGAAAAAGTATAACTTTGATACGTCACGCATTTCTGAGTCACTGTGTATAAAGCGAAATGATTTGGAAATGTGCTGCTCATGATCCTAGATCATCTCTGAAATTTTTGTTCATCTATCTCAAACAGTAAAGCCGTTATCTATCTGTAATGAACGAAAGAGTTACAAAAATTGTATAGTAATGCTGGGTTTATAGATTCAATTAAACTAACAATTTGGAATTAACAATTAACAATCAACAATTAATTATCATGAGGGTGTTTATACATATCTGATAATAATTATGAATTAGATGTGAGATGTCCTTGGATTGTAGATCAATATGATGTTAAAAAGTAATTTTGGTCTCTACAATTCATGAATCCATGAAAAATACTCCAATTGAATATCACCACACTCCACTTGAACAATAACAAATCCCATCTTCATGTTCTCTCTCCAGAATTTTTTAATTCTTAGTTGTTAAGTTGAAAGTTGGCCAACTTTGTAATTCATAATTCTCAATTTAATTGACAGATGTAAATGTATAAACCCTCATAGATGTTGCCATGTATTCAACTTTTCAAGTTCATAGTTGTTAGTTTAATTCTTAGTTTAGTTGAATCTATAAACCCAGCATTAGCTCATCAATGGACCTTGATCTTGGGGGATGATCTTCATCAAATCCGGTGCCTGAAGGCACTTAACACAATGTATTAAACCACTGATTAATCCTTATACCCGATTATGTATTTACCTTGATGTCAAAATGTCACAATTTGACTGGCATTGATAATAGAAAAATTCACAGCAACACACTTCACAGGTTGTTCTACACTGACTAAGATCTGATTTGCCGGGTATGCGTATTGGCTTCGATAGGTGACAAAAAATGTGTCATTCTCATAAAAACAAGTAGTTATCATTACGCAAGAAACAACAGTATCAGCGGGAAGAATGCAACGTTGCCATCTTTCCCAAAAATGAATTGAAATGTATCCAGATTTTTGAGGTTGTCTCTCCTCATCTGTATAAAATTGAAATATTTTTATTTTTTCAGTACAGAGTGGGGTGGGACAACGAAAATGAAACATACTGAATAATTTCCGAAGGAATGTTTGTTCCACACATATAAATTCAGAAGGATTGTTTATTTGACATACATTCTTATCCTCAATGGGCTTATATCACAAAAAAAAAATATTTTATAATTCGATAGAACTCACCCAAACTAGCTCACCACCGCAAACCGTTTCTTGCTGTGAGCTCCCTACGTTTTATAAAAAATAATTGAAATCCCCGATTTTTCGGCGATGATGTGACGTCAAAACCCTAATACTGAAACAAGACTATTTCAGACAGAGATGAATGATACATGATTTCTGACAGAGTGAATTAGCGCGAGATCACAGTTGAAAGAATTAATATATCAGTTGCCTCAGTCTCCGTCGGGCGTTTGGTATTTTCTTTCAACTATGGCGAGATGAGGTTTCTACGTCATAAGAGGGTCCGTTTTCAGAAGGTACTATTATTTATGTCCAAAAATAAAACATTCCAGTTAATTTTTCGATCGAATTATGTCGCCAATCATTATTTATGTATAAAAGGATCATTCTAAACATGGTTTGAGTTAAAAGTTCTACTAAGGTGTACAAGCCCATTGTCCTATGTCATTTCGTTTCCCGCCACTTGGTTGACCAATAGAATTTGAATAGGAAAAGTCCCTCCTCGGGTCCCTCGTACGAGTCGTACGGGAAAAATGTCATGTTGGACACTTCACATAACGAAAAGAAATGACGCAGAGTACTTTTAGAAATCAATTTGCAAGGATTGTAAGATCTATGGATTTTGAAATTCGATATACACTTTGCTTCAAGTATAATATTATTAGGTTTATCATATTGTTTTATACATTAGCCAAATTTTTCTCAAAAAAAAACTATTAGCTCATCAAGTCTCTTCAGTCTCGAAATTTAAACGAGTGAAAAAATTGTTAAGTCAAGAAAACATGGAAGAATTGTGGGGTTAAGACAACGCGAAATATTCAATGTTATTCAAAGTCTTTCAAATATGGTAGGATAGAAAACCAATAAGAAAACATTTTTCGAAATTTCAAGAAATAATAACTTTTTGGAAATATTTCGAAACAATTTCTAATTTGGGTGTTCTCAGAGGTGAATCATTCTTTCAAGAGGATATACATGTTCGATCATTAAAATATACAGATTCACCAAATAGCGACTCAATGGAAAGTTGCTAAAACATATACCTATTATACTTGATGCAATAGACCTCAAATAAATAAAATGAAAATATTCGGCACTATTTTTTTTTTCATGTGAAGTATCCAACATTCATCAGCTACATAAAATTCTTCTTCTACTCACATAACTAAAATGGCATTTTTCTACTCACATAACTAGAATGGCATTTAGCGTTCGGATATGTACACGTTACCATGGCAACACGATTTCTTAAACACATTACCATGGCAACGCAGTTCATTAAACACAGCTTCAGTCATTTGAGACATGTCTGGCCTGTCAATTGTATTAACTGTCAACTGTTATTTTCGAATTTTGTATCAGAATTATTCAAACAATATTCGTTTGTATCAGAATTCATCTTTAAAAATATATGCGAAAAGTAGACGAAAGTGTAAAAATAAGCATCCATCTTTGAGAACAATTTATTTATTCTGCGCTAAGCATGACAATAAACGTGAAACAAAGGTTAGTAAGCAATGGACTGGACACATCTACAACCAATATCACTTATACGTGTCTCGCTGGTTGCATACAGTTGCATGTATTATGTTCTCAATTCCCATTCCTTTCGGATTATTTTGTAGGTTAGCAGGATGCAGGTATGTTAATGTAATTTTCGGAGTTCGTAGAAAAAGCATAGTATGTAACGCGTTTATAAACTTTTCTAGACACTCGTTTATTAAACACTCGCTCCGCTCTGCTCCGCTCGTGCTTAAAATACTCGTTACTAAAAGGACGTTTATAACACTTGTTACAAGTACAAGTATTTTCAATGTTCTTCCAGTAATTTCTAGTAGACTACCATTCGATCTTTCTTCACCAGTGGCATA